GGGCCGCGGGCGGGGCGGCCCGGCGGGGCTCGGCACGGCCCGGCCCGCCCCGACAACTTCGGGCCAATCCCGCCGCGCCGCCGCCCGGCAACTTCACCGACTGCCATTAACCCTTGGCGGGCGGCACCGGCACCCACCGGCACCGGCAGCGCCATCGGGACCGAGACCGAGACCGGGAGCTCCCCACCGGCACCCGCTGGCACCGGCACCGGTAACTCCCCACCGGCATCCAGCGGCACCAGGACCGGCAGCAGCAGCCACGCCCCAGCCCGGCAGCCCCGGTACCGCCGGCATCCACCGGCACCGGTATCCCTGGCAACGCCCCGGTGCCTCTCCCAGCCCGACACCGAGCCGGTACCGCGAATATCCACCGGCACCGGGACCAACAGTGCCCGGGCAAGGGGGCTGAGCATCACCGGTAACCATCCCTGGCACCGGCACCGGCACCCCGGGCACGCACCGGCACCGCCCCGGTACCGGCACCGGCAGCGCTGGTTCCCCCGCCGGTACCGGGCCGGGGGAGCTCACACGGGGCAGCTCTCACACACGCGTGTGCCCAGGCCCACCGGCTGCCCACGCGTGGCTGTGCCCACCAGCAGCTCTTGCACGCGTGTACCTGTGCACACGGGATGGCGCTTGCACACGCGTGTGCCCGTGGGGGTGGCAGCTGCTGGCCCCACGTGTGTCCCTGCCCACCAGGCAGCTCTTGCACATGTGTGTGTCTGTGTCATCAGAGAGCTCCTGCACACACGTGTGCTCACGTGTGACACCTGTGACCAAGCCTATAGGGCAGCTCTTACACACCTGTGTGTGTGTGTCCCCAGAGAGCCCCTGCACACACGTGTGCTCACGTGTGACAGCTCCTGCTCACGTGTGACACCTGTGACCAAGCCTATAGGGCAGCTCTTGCACACGTGTGTGTGTCCCCAGAGAGCTCCTGCACACACGTGTGCTCACGTGTGACACCTGTGTCCCTGCCCACACAGCAGCTCTTGCACACCTGTGCCCGTTCAGGTGTGTGTCCCTGCCCTGCACACACAGGTGGTGAGCACACAGGCAGCTCTTGCACACACATGTGTACCTGTGGGCTGGCAGGCGGCTTGCACACGCATGTTCCTTCCTAGAAAACAGCTCTTGCACAATCATGTGGCAGCTCCTGCCTGAGCACACAGGACAGCTCCTGCACACGCGTGTGTCCAGACCACAGGGCAGCTCTTACACACACAGACACACACACATGTCCATAAAGCAGCTCTTACACACATGTACCTGAGCCCACACAGACTGAGCAGCTCTTGCACACACACGTGCCCCTGTGTGGGCATTCCCATGCGTGTCCCTGCCCACCGGGCAGCTCTCACACATGTATGTGCTCGCAGAACAGCTTTGGCACACATGTGTGCCCACCGGGCAGCTCTAACACACGTGTGTGCCCACGGAGCAGCTTTGGCACACTCGTGTGACCATGGGGCAGCTCTGGCACACACATGTGCCCACCGGCTGGCTCTTACACACTCATGCGCCCCAAGAGCAGCTCTCACACACACGTGTACCCACCAGACAGCTCTCACACACTCGTGTGCCTAAAGAGCAGCTCTGGCACATGCGTGTGCCCACAGAGGAGCGCTCACACATTGGTGTGCCCACTGGGCAGCTCTCACACGCTTGTGTGTCCATGGAGCAGCTCTCACACTCTCATGTGCCCACTAAGAAGCTCTGGCACACTCGTGTGCCCATTGGGCAGCTCTCACACACTCGTGTGTTCACTGGGCAGCTCTCACACACGTGTGTGCCCACAGAACAGCTTTGGCACACTCGTGTGCCTAAAGAGCAGCTCTCACACACTTGTGTGCCCACTGGGCAGCTCTAGCACATGCATGTGCCCACGGAGCAGCTCTCACACTCTCATGTGCCCACTAAGAAGATCTGGCACACGCGTGTGCTCACTGGGCAGCTCTCACACACTTGTGTGCCCACAGAACAGCTCTGGCACACTCGTGTGCTCAAAGAGCAGCTCTGGCACACGCGTGTGCCCACTGGGCAGCTCTCACACACTCGCATGCCCACTGGACAGCTCTAGCACATGCGTGTGCCCATGGAACAGCTCTCACACATGCTTGTGTCCACAGAGCAGCCCTCACACTCTCGTGTGCCCATTGGGCATCTCTGGCACATGCGTGTGCCCACAGAACAGCTCTCACACACTCGTGTTCCCACTGGGCAGCTCTCACACACTCATGTGCTCACAGAACAGCTCTGGCACACTCGTGTGCCCAAAGAGCAGCTCTCACACACATGTGTACCAAAGGAATAGCTCTGGCACACTCGTGTGCCCACTGGGCAGCTCTCACACACCCGTGTGCCCACGGAGCAGCTCCGGCACACACAGACAGACAGACAGACACACACGTGCCCACTCTCGTGCCCCCCGTGTCCCCTCTCCCCCGTGCCCACGTGGCCCCGGCCGCGCCCCCGCTGCAGCTGCCCTCAGCGCCCGCCAGGGGGCGCTGGCGCTCGGGAGCCCTTCCGGCGCGGGGCCTGCCGGGAGTTGTAGTTCCCCCCGCTCCCCCCCGGTGCGGGTCGCGGTGCCCCGGTGCCGGTGCGGCGGAGGCAGCGCAGAGGCGGCTCACAGCCCCTTTATTGACGTGGCGGGAGACAAAGGGGGCGGCGGAGCCCGGCGGGGCTCGGCCTTCCCCGCGGATCCAGCGCTGCGCATTCCCCGCCCGCGGCTCAGGCCTCTGGCGGGGCCGGCGCGGGCCTGGCAAGAGGAGGGAGGGCGATGGCGTGAGGGTGGGGTCCGCACAGCTTCCCCCTGCAGCTCCCCCCGTCCCTGCTCTGCATCCCCGCCCTCACCCCCTCCTTCCTCCTCTCCCACCCTGTTCTGGCCCCTCATTTCTCTTGGTTACCCTCTCTCCCCCACCCGCACTCCCCTCAGGCCTTGCAGGCCGCGCCCTGGCACCCCACACTGTCCCCTCAAACCCCCCGGACCCCAGCCCTGGCTGTCCCCCGCGCTCACCTGGCAGGAATCACGGTGACATAGGCGTGCCCAGGGGGGGTCTCACTGCGGGCCAGCGAGGGGCCCGGCGGGTCCGAGGGCAGCGGCCGCTGCGGCGGCGGGGGCTTGGCCGGACCTGGGGGCTGCAAGGGCACGGCGGGGTGTGAGGGCACGATGCGGGGTGCAGGGTGGGGAGCGGCCCGGCGCCCCACACGCAGGCGCTGCCGCCGTTACCTGAGCGCTCGGCAGCACAGGGTCTGCGGGCAGCGGGCGTGTGGGGGGGGGCGGCCTGTCCGAGGGGGGGCCCTGGGCAGAGAGACGGGGACAGTGTGACAGCGGGGGACAAGTGGGGCAGCGCGGGAGCCGGCGTCCCGCCGGGCACGAGGGGACAGCCGTGTCACACAAGTCCCCCAGAGCTGGAGCGCAGCCAGGCATGCGGCGGGGCCGGGGTGGGCTGGGGGGTGCCCCCCGCCCTGCCCGGGCATTACCTTGGGCACAGGGTCCGGCGGGAGAGGCCGGGAGGGCGGATCAGGCCGGGCTGAGCCGAGGGCAGCCGGCTGCGGAGAGAGGGAGAGGGGGGACAAGCCATGCAGCATGCGGAGACCCCCCTCCCGCCAGGCAGAGACAGAGACCCCCCCTCAGTGCACAGCCCTGGCTGGGACGGGCTCCAGTCCCGGTCGTGCCAAGCGGCCGTGCCAGGCTGCTACGGGTGCCAAGGAGTGGGATTCCCCAGCCCAGGACTGGAGTGAACTGCGCTGCCGCTGCGCCCATCCTCACCTTGCTGCCATGCATGACCTGCAGCTCCGTGGCCTGCCGCCACTGCGGGGGCCGGGGGCGTGCAGGGGGCCCTTGGCTGCTGCCCGCCGGGGGCTCTGGCTGCGAGATCCTGCAGGGAAAACCCAGGGTGAGACCCCCGCTCGCTCTGGGCACTTGGGGGACCCCGCACGGCCACCGAGCGACACCGACACCAGCAGAAGCCCAAGAGAAACGAACCCCTCGGCGCTGGAAGATGCGACACCCCGCGCCCCGGGGCTGCCCCGCACCCCACGGGCACTGCCAGGGGAAGAGCGCAGCACCGGAGGCCTTGCGAAGCAGGACGGCTCGGGGACAGCCCCACGCCCGGGCGCCGGAGGTGACGTTACCCGCTCCAGCCGTCTGCGGCTCCGGGACCCAGGAACCGCACCCGGGTCTCAGCACTGTGGGGAGAAGAGTGGGGGGCTCAGCCCGGGGCTGGGGGGGCGAGAGGAGCCGCGGGGATGTGAGGTGACGGGGCTGCGACCTGCGCTGGGGACGCGCACGCACACGGATGATGGTCACGCTGCGGGGACACGCGTGCGCAGCGCCTGGGCAGCCACCACGGGGGACGCGTGTGCGTGTGCGTGCTCACATGCCAGGGCACACGTGCGTGGGATTGAGCGTGCCACATGCAGAGGTGTGCGTGCCACCTGTGTGTCGCAGCACGCGCGAGCGGAGTCGAGCAGGCCGCTGGTGTGCCACGCCAGAGGTGTCGCGTGCCGCCCCCGTGCCTTGGCACACGCGTGCAGAGGCTGGCGTGCCACCTGCATGACACGGCACACGCATGCAGGGGGTTGTGTGCCACCTGCGTGTCACAACACACACACGTAGAAGTGAGCGTGTCACGGCACACGCATGCAGAGGTGAGCGTGGCAGCCGCGTGCCACCGGTGTGCCTCGGCATACACATGCAGAGGCGAGCGTGCCAACACCCACGTGCCCCCCACACATCCCCCGTGCGCCCCCCTGTCCCCAGTACCTGTACTGGCAGGAGGTGCCCTTTCCAAGCTGGCAGAGGTGCTTGTGCAGGCCGGCACGGCGGGCACGGCACAGCCCCAGCGCCAGCGCCAGCCCCAGCAGCGCGCTCAGCAGCAGGGCCGTGGGCAGGGCGCTTCCTCCTGCGGGAGAGCAGCACGTCAGCCCCCGCCGTGCCCGTCCCCCCCCTGGCACCCGCACAAAGCCCCATTCTCTGCGCTCGCCTCGGCCCTCACCTCGCTCAAGGCCGGCAGGGCCGCTGTCCTGGCTGCCTCCCACACCGGGGCTGTCACAGCTCGGGGGGGCCCAGCCCTGCTCGCAGTGGCAGTGCCCGTGGTTGTTGCACACCTAGGGGGGTGACAGTGGCTGAGCTCAGCCCCTGAGGGGCAGCTCCCCACTGCCAGCAGTCGCTCCCCAGCCCCGCACTCACCCCGTGCCCGTGGCATTTGCTCTGGCACTGCTGGTCACCCAGCACGGAGATGTCCTGGCACCGGTGCTGGAGGCACATCTGTGGGGCATGGGGTGTCAGCACTGGGAGACTCCCCCAGGCCCTTCCCTGTCACCCCACTGCTCACCTTCCCGGGGCCACAGGTGGTGCCAGGCAGCACCATGGCTGCATCTGTCACATCCTCATCCCCAGGCAGGGTGG